TGCTTCCGGCCGGGAGGCGGGCTTGGGCTCGGACTTCCGGCAGCGGCGGCCTGGGCTCCGGCTACCTAGCGCTCGCGTGGGCGGCTGTCTTGTGGCTTTTGCCCCCCGCCTTTCCGAGCGCGGCGGCCCTCCCCGGCCTCGGCCCCGCCTTGGTTAACCATTAACCCCCGGGCCAGGCGTCCGCCCAGTCACGGCGAGGCTCACGGACTCCGTTCGCCTTGGAGTCCGTGCCGCACCCGGACCTGCCGCCTCAGTGGGGCAGGCGGGGCGTTTTCGACAAGCTTCCCAGCCTCCGGGCGCTCTAAGGCATGGCGACTGCTGCAGCCCGTCTCCGTCCCGGCCGTAAGGGTGAACTCGCCCCCGAGCGTGCAGGCGGAACGGGCTGCATCTGCACAGCCCCGCTCCGACAACTGCAGACCGTCCTGACTGAAACGTTAACAGCTTGAGGTCCTGTGGCCGTAAACGGGCAGAGCCGGAAGGACCTCGGCGATGACAGCTCACGTGACGGCGCGTGCCCCGCGGCCCCGCGGCCCCGATCGCCGCTGTGGTGAAGCGTGAGCTCCCCCCGGAGCCGGCTGCGGCCGGCCTCCCGCTGAGGCACCGCGACAGCCACCTCCCGGGGTCACGCGGAGGCAGCTCTCGAACCCAGGCGAGGTCACCTGGCGCGCTCATCTCTAATGTCCCAGACCACGGTGGCCAATTCCAGAACGGCTACGAAACTTTATTAAATTGGGGGAAGTATCCCGTTTTAAACATTTGTTGACACAAGTCTTACACAGTAGCGTTCCTCAATTTAGAAAAATTCAGGACCGTTATCTTTGGTGATGTACATATGGTGAGAGAGAGAGAGACAGACAGAGATCTTTACTTTGCTAAAAGGTTTGGTGCCCTTAAGATAGTTTACTTGCACGCCACGTGTTTTTATAAGTCTGGGTATTACTTAAGTGAAATGTTAAGATTTCTATTTCAGTGTTCACAAATTTAGACTCGTAAGATCTGGGTTTGAATCTTGACTGGTACTTTGTGAGTTTGGGTAAGCTTCTGTTAAAAGGAGCCCTTTACCCTTTGTTTCCTCATCTGGAAAATAGATAAAATACCCCCGGGGGCCTTGTGAGGATTAACGAACTATGTGCAAAGGGCAGGAGCACAGGCACTCGCTCGTTTCCCTGTTATTCGGCCACCAAAGAGGTGGTAGGAAACTGCTACCAAAGGCATCTCCTCTCTGAACCCAAAAGCGAGGGTGACACCCCGGAGCCTTGTGTTGGCCAATTAACCGGACTCAGTAAAAGCACCTTGGTCAGTGCTCAAGAGAAGTCGTAAGTTTCTTTAATTTCATATATCTTTTGTCTCCAGTGTCTTATGGAAACTGAATTACTGCATTTTTTTTTTTTTTTTAATTCAACCTGAACGGATTCCCTATGCTAGAAAGGTGTCTAATAGAGACTGGGGATCCATTTAGCTAATTTGTAATTTTATGTGGTGTCAACACCTTTAGAAAACTAATTTTAGGCACAAGTCAAAAAAATATTTTTTGAAGAGTGAACTGTGGAACAAAATGGCTAAATTTTTCAGAAGGAAGTTTTCTTCATCTAGCCCACAAACTAGGTAAATTGTGTAATTTTTCACTTTCTTTTTTATTAAGATTCTACTATCTTAAAGTTAATTCAAAATAGAGGAAATATGTGGGAGCATTTGGATAGTGCACCAAAGTAACAGTAATTAAGGTGAACACATTGACTCTTACTGTTCTCTGAATGGGCTGACCATGATATTCACAATATTTAATTAAGCATAATATGGGCGTTAATTATAAATAGTCACCAGATATCATAACTAAACAGAAGCATTTATGATGCATAGAGAGAACAATTATAGAAAGGATAATACTTTTCTAAGCAAAATGAAAGACTACAATCATAGTTCTCTGAAACCTTTATCATTAGCTCCACCTTTCTCTGCACATTTATCAACCCCTGCAAAGTTCACTACAGTTTGGTTTCCTTTTTTTTTTTTTTTGATTGAGGGCAAAACCCTGTAAAGACTGCATGTTCTAAGAGACTGAAACCTGAGGGAGGGTTGTATTTGGTTCTCATTGGTTCTCATTTATTTGGGAGTCAAAGAGAACTTAACTTTTGATCCTACTTTACACCTCATATATTTTGTTACTCCCTTGATACTAATATTTCTTTTCTAGTTTTTGCCTGGAATAGGAAAAGCAAGAGAACTATTCATTCATTTTCTTCTCTAATGCCAAGTTTTGAAATAAGCTGTACAAATTCTCAAATAGTCCATTTATGATCTGTGCACAGGCACATCCTCTGAGGATAGAAAGTATCATTTTATCCCCCTTGGATTTTGGATCATTTGGATCATAATTATAAGGTAGGATACAACTTAAATACTGAAAAAGAATAATGTTAAATATAAGACTAAATGTAATACTTTGAGACGTTTAAGAAATTTTGTGTTTACTATCCCCTTCCTTTACTTTATAAATTTACTGTATATACATGTATCCATGAATAATATATTTTTTGCTACTGCTTGGTTTTCCGCTTGATAAAAATGAAAGCATACTCTAAAATATTTTAAAATATTTTCATTTAAAGTTACATTTTTGAAATTAATGCAACTTGATATAGCCATACTACTGCTACATTCAATTAACAGAATACATATATTATCCATTTCACTGTTGATTGATTTAGAGTTGTTTCCTGTCTAATTTGCTATTATAACCTTTCTTGCACATGTGCATGTCTCCTGGTGTACCTGTGAATGTTTCTCTGTAATATACAGAAAGTGGGATTATTGAGTCATGAATATGTTCAACTTTACTAGGTAATGCCAAACGGTGGGTAGCACTAATTGATGTCATCACTATCAGTTGTTCCATATCCTCGCCGATACTTGATATAATTTTCTGCCAGTCTGTTGGATAGAAAATAGTGTCCCATATGTGACTTTGCTTTGCATTTCTTTTACATTTTCCTACTAATGAGGTGGAGCATCTTTACATGTGATTAGTGACCATTGAGATTTCTTCACCTGTGAAATGTTTATGTCTTTTGCACATTTTTCTATGACTATTTGGCATTTTCTTTCTAGGACTTCATATATTCTGAATCTTAATCCTTTGTTGGTTAAATGTGTTCCAAATTCCATATTTCTTTTTTTCTTCAGCCTGTTTCCCCCTTTCAGTTCATCTTTCTGTTCCCATTTTTCTTATCATCATTGCCCTTCTGTGTGTTCTGTCATAAAATGTGATAAAGGGCTGCACACCCGATGCTGTGGAGGTAATTACTACCACATGAGCAATTTGTGTAGCTTCCAAACTGTTTAGAGATGTAGTATCCAGCCTCTTGCCAGCCATAGCTAATCCAGAAAATCATGCTTTTTATTAAAAAACACTATATTTTTGCTTTTGTTATTATGAAATAATTTTTTTAAAATAGCATATGTGTTTTCCCCATCCTTTAAAAAATAACTAGGTTAATTAGACAAAGTTTAACAATGCTAACTTCAGAGTACAAATTTGACATCTCTGTAATTTCCTAAATTTGATTTGTGTAATGCTTTCCTTTACACTTTGAATTCAAAGCTCCTGCTTCTTTCTGTCACACACACAAACACACACCTCATCCTATACTTCAGTTTTGGAGCTCACACTATATTATCTATCTTCCTTATGGCTCAGAACTAACCTCAAAATAGTGGTCTATAAATTTCTTCTTTCTAAAACTCATTTCTACACATTCACATAGAGATTTTACTTCTTAGTAATTTGTTTTATGAACCTGAAAAAATTTTTTTAATCCTCACCCAAGGACATGTTTTTATTGATTTTTTTTTAAGGAGGATATATATGT